CAGAGCTGCCACACAAGCTTTTTAAAAAGCACAAAGGAAAAAAAGTCAGTGGAGTGAGATGCTTTTTCTCTTCTACCTTGTGCAGTTTAATTATCAATAGAGTAGAATAAGGATTCCCACTAATGGAATTTTTAACACAAATGAACATTGGAACCATTTGAAGTCTGGCTATAGAAACGTAAGAAAATTTCATTTCTGTATCATAAGTGCTCAACGTAAAAGTCTGACTCTATAACCTGTCTCCTTTTGTAGAATCCTTTAATTTATTTCCTGTCTTTTATCAGATAATGCTCAAACTCTTTGCTCTTGCCCTCAAGACCCTCTTAATCTCTTTCACCTACAGCTCCGCTCTCATTTCCACATTCCTTCCTTTCTCTCTTCCCTCTTCATATACTTCTGACTTATTTTGCCTTCCTCTCCTCCCATTCTAACTTTCTTACTTCCTATGCTGCCCTCTACACTTGGAGCAGTTTGTGCTTATCTGCCAGATATTATCTTCACCTTCCTATCCCTTTTTACAATCCAGTTCTTCCAGCAATGGCTTCTCATGTTCTTATCCCCATTCCACCCATCCTCAAATAATCCCTTCCCTAATCACCTCATGTTAAGGTGGACCTGGGCGCCGGGCACTTGACGTTAATCTGGTCCTGCAAAAGCCATAACTGGAGCCCATGACATTAGAACTCTCACTCTTAAGTCAAAAGAAAGGTCTCAGAATACAACAAATCAATTGTATAACCCCCATTCAGTCTGATTTACACGCTAGTGCCACTGAGGCTTATCTAAGAAATACACACTTAGTTAGAAGGGTGGTGTGATGGTGCCCCCCATAAGGCTTTATGGAATATGCTTATGATTGTATATGTGACATAACTGGCATATGTTTTAGGCTACATACGCCATGTAACCTATCTATGTAAAGGTTATGACCTACTGAATGTATTCATCCTATTTGTATGCATGTATCATTTTTGTATTTGAAGTTATGAATATTGGCTGTGTACTGGCTTGATTTTAACTAGTCTAGTAGAGCATTTGGTCAGCTTCTTGAGAAAAGTGCAAATTAAGTGCCCAATCAAAACCACTTAATCCAACAATAAACTTGAAGATGACAAAAGCAACAGAGGGTCCTGTGGCACCTTTAAGACTAACAGAAGTTTTGGGAGCATAA